TACAGAAGTACTCATATATGTACAGTGTTATTTGTATAAGGATAGTCAAAACAACTGTGTTTAATAGTGAAAAATTGGACATGATTACAAAAATAAAGTATGTTGTTTTTTTTTTAAATTTTTTTATTTTGGTACGCGGGCCTCTCACTGTTGTGGCCTCTCCCGTTGCGGAGCACGGGCTCCGGACGCGCAGGCTCAGCGGCCATGGCTCACAGGCTCAGCCGCTCCCCAGCATGTGGGATCCTCCCAGACCGGGGCACGAACCCGTGTCCCCTGCATCGGCAGGCGGACTCTCAACCACTGCGCCACCAGGGAAGCCCAAAGTATGGTTATTTTTATGCAGAAATACTATGTAACAATTTAGAACAGGAGTTGGCAAACTGTGACCCGTGGGCCAAACTTGGCTATTTTTGCAAATAGAGCTTTATTGGAACACAACCACGCTCCTGAGTTTTTGTATTATCTACGGCTGCTTTTGTGCTATACAATTGCTATACAACGACAGAGTTCAGGAATTCCAACAAAGACCACAGAGCCTGCAAAGTCTTAAAGAAAATGTTTGCCAACCCGATTTAGAAAAATGAAGTAGATTTAGACTGATAGGCTCTGAGTTCTACCAAAAAAAAATCCAGTTGAAGACTAGTATGATGCCTGTTATGTAGTTAATGTGATCTCCATTATGTAAAATATGTTTGTATGGCTACATAAATGCAATCCAACACAAACAGTATGAACAGCAGTTACTTATTTGAAGGAGAAGAGCTGGGGTAGGGGAAGAGGGGTGATTTTAATAGGTATATATGTTACTTTTGGAATTCTTATACAGGCATCAAAAAGGGCAAAGAAAATGTCTGGATCCATCCAGGGATTTCTCTCTTTGCCTTCTAGCCTCCCTAGCCCTTTACTAAATCCTTGCTCTAGACCCATGTTCTGCCAAGCCAAGAAGAAAAACTCTTCATCTTCTTCTGTACCATTTTTACTGGTACTGTTTCCTTCCAATGAGGAGGGTGTGGAAAAGTGGCTTATTATTTGATTATGAATAAGTTTGCATATTTTGCCATGTCAGTCCCATTATGTTTCCTCTTTTCAGAACTGTTAAGACTTAAGTTACATATACTATACTGGTTTCATTATTTTTGATCAAAAAAGATTCTAAGTAAAACCATGAGCTGAAAATAAATAGCCATACTTTAAGTATCATGGTAACTGATATTTTTTACCTTTTGATATTTCAACAAAAGATGCAAAAATTTAGCTTCAAAACTGATCATTAATTTGACAAAAGTCTTGGAACAGTCCCCTCCCCGAAAAAAGTTTGTGATTTTTTTTTCCCCCTGCGGATTATAAATTATTATCCTGTGAAGCACAAGAACCTGGAAACTTAAAATTCTCATGCTGAATCATATCTTTGGCAATTTCATCTAAACCACAGGAAGTTTTCTAAAAATATCTGCTGCCTTTCCTCCTGCTAAAACTAGTTTAGAGCCTTAAGTTATAAAGAGGTAAAAGTCATGCATGGGTGCCTGTGCACTTCCAGCTAGCAAGAAGCCAATTATTTAATCCTTGAATGAAGCCTCTTCTTTCTCTCTGGGCAAACCATCAATGTTTATTTGTTATTACCATGTACTTGTATAGCACTTCACAGCTTACAAAGTGTTTTCCCATACATTACTGCATCTGGCCAGTAAACTTGTAGTAAGAGTCAAAAGAGGAAATTCTGTGTTACTTTAATGTGAACACTATCTCACAGATGTTAAATGATTTGTCTAGGGGAACAACTGGCAAGTGTCAAAGAAGAGATTCAAACTCTCTCAGAAACATTTAAGTGTACATTTTTAATAATTCAAAGATGTCTTTCTTCTCTTTTTCACTGCTTTTTCTCAAATGACATCAGAGAAACATTTTTCCATGGGGGACATGTGAGTATTAAGTGTTTGAGATTTCTATTTGTGGCTTTAACAACAAAAAATGACTTTTAAAAGAGAATATTAGTTTCAGAGGAAGATAGAAAAGAACTATACTCAAAACTTCATTACAGGGCTTCCCTGGTGGCGCAGTGGTTGAGAGTCCGCCTGCCGATGCAGGGGACACGGGTTTGTGCCCCGGTCCGGGAAATCCCACATTCCGCGGAGCGGCTGGGCCCGTGAGCCATGGCCACTAAGCCTGCGCGTCCGGAGCCTGTGCTCCGCAACGGCAGAGGCCACAACAGTGAGAGGCCTGCGTACCGCAAAAAAAAAACAAAAAAACCTTCATTACATCTGAGTACACCAGTATCATTACTAGTTTCATGAGACCAACATCTGCCTGTAACTTCTAATTCTTACCTTATTCTACTTCCACAATATTTGAAAATAAGTTATGTCTGAAAATCATTACATAAAAGGACCACAAAAATATAGTGTCCCAGTAATAGTGGGGAAAAAAAAAAATCAAAGAAACTCAAAAATACAGGAGTTGATTAAAAAAAAATTCTAGAAGGTTGACTTTTAGAATTGTTAACGAGACAACTGAAAACACCTTTCAAAGCAAGTCTCAGGAAATAATTTGGGTAACCCAATATTACGAAGTGATTACTTAAAAAACGTAAAGCTAACCTACATGAGAAGTCCTTAGGAGACTGTAAGTATAATTAAGTAATTTGCGTAGCTAAAAAAAAAAAAGAATACATATTACAAGAAACTAAAACCAATAATCAATGTCTTTAAGTATAAAAAAAAATGGAAAAATGGTGAGACCACTCAATGTCATTGGAGAGCCACTGGTTTTGTTTCAGGATTAAAGTGAAATACAGAGAGCATTGCTTCTGCTTGTCCTATCTTCATCTAACAGCCTACAGGTGGCCTCTTTCAGTATTCTGAGTCACCGGAACACCGGAGATATACAACTAAAAGGAAAAGAAATTAACAAAATCCCAAGCCTGACTGCATAAATGTTGAGCTTATTTTAATGGTCTGTCACCTTACAAGGCCAACTTTCTTATAGGTCTATATAGTCTTAGAACTTGGGAGTGTAAGGCATGATGTACAGCTTCAAGTTATCTGTAGGATAAAGAAAGGTGAAAGGGAAAAAAAAACTTGAAAGGCTGAGGTAGATCCCTAGAGACAGAATATATTAGTAAACTCATGTTGGGAAGAGTAATCTAATCTATATAGATCTATGAGGCCTAACATTTCAAGGTCAAAGTAGAAAAGATCTTACCCTTTTATTTCTCTCACTCTCTACTCTTCTCCCCGCAACTCTCTTCTGACTTTTTTTTATCTTGTATTTTTTAAAAAAATTTTTTAACATCTTTATTGGAGTATAATTGCTTTACAATGGTGTTAGTTTCTGCTTTATAACAAAGAGAATCAGCTATACATATACATACATCCCCATATCCCCTCCCTCTTGCGTCTCCCTCCCACACTCCCTATCCCACCCCTCTAGGTGGTCACAAAGCACGGAGCTAATCTCCCTGTGCTATGCGGCTGCTTCCCACTAGCTATCTATTTTACATTTGGTAGTGTATGTATGTCCATGCCACTCTCTCACTTCCTCCCAGCTTACCCTTCCCCCTCCCCTACGTTGTATCTTAATTGGGATTTTTCTACTTCTTGCCCTCACAAATCTTCCCCTCCACTAATTTATTAAAAATTGAGAATATGGATGTAAACGTTTTATACAATTATATTCATATGCTCTTGTCCTCAACTATATGCTTCTGGTTCTTAAAAGTTGCCACATGGTATAGGAGAAAGAGTGTTGAAGTCAACCAGAAAATCAATGTTGAGCCACAGGTCTGCCACTACCTATTTTTGTGACCATGGGCAAATAACTTTTCAAAAAAAAAAGAACTAAAATGTCTTTATCCAAAATTTAGACATATAGACAAATTTAGACAAAATTTAGACTTAGTATAGGTAGTTTTATGGTTTTTCCACATATTAAGGCAAGTGCAAAATTAAAGTAGATGAGGTTACTCAAGACATCCACCTTTTTGTTTAATTGTTGAAATTTCTGTTTCCACTTGGTTTTAAAGTACATTTGTTCAAATCGGGATACAAAGGTGACATTTGCATTTACTTTGTTACTAAAGTCTCTTTTAATGTATAGGGTCCCCCTCCTTTTCCTTGCAATTTGTTAAACAAAGCCAAGTCATTTATCCTGTAGAATTCCCCGTGTTCTGGATTTTGTTGATTGTATTCCCATGGTGTTCTGTAACATGTTCTTTTGTGCTGTGTTCTTCCCATTAATGGGTAGATCTAGGGGCTTGATCAGATTCAGGCTTTTTTTTTTTTTTTCCCTGTCAAGACACTTCATAGGTGGTGCTGGGTACTTTTTCATTGAGCTGTATTAGAAGACACATCATTAAGATTAACCAATGAGTTCATCAGGTGCTGCCATTCAGATCCATTCATCCAAAGTTCCTCATCAGCTTTTCAATTAATAGCTTCAGCTGCCACTGATGTGCATTGCCTAGCTCTTGCCAATTCATTAGGAATTTAAAAATGGTGATATTCTAACAATACTCCTTCTGCATACTAACTAGAACAATTCTACAAATTCTTCCCCTCAGTTATTTGATTATCCTGGGGGTAAGGCAGGATAAATGCTTCTTTCTCTCCAGGTTTCCAGTTTTCAGAATAATTCCTCAACATCTTTCCAAAGGTAACTGAGTTGTTTTGTTTTTGTTCACGTTTATCATTTTGAATGCATAGGTTACATATTTAATGAATTTCACTGCATTTCAGTTATTATCCTTATTTATCATATTACTCCACGTATATATCGCCAGTGGTTTAAAGTCCCTGCAGTCGGATCTTGAGCTTCTGAGAAAACATCTTTGAGTTTCCGAAAGCTCTCTTGCTTTGGTGATATTGAGGTATGAAGTTTTTAGATGTGAAATTTTTGTTGAGGAGAAAATGCCTAATGTGCATGGCTGAATCAAATGATATCTCTCGCAAAATAAGCTGGGGCAAGTAGGCTGGGGTACAGAGGAAACAAGTTTGGCCACCCGTTGCTCACTTTTGAAATTACTATAACCACAGTTTATTATTGTTCATTATATTATTCTCTTGTATACATCTGAAAAATTCCATAATTAAGTTCTCTATCCCATTTTAGTAGTAAAAGTTTAAAAAGTCACCAACTACTACAGAAAAACAGAAGAAAACAAACACCTTAAGTTCGGATCACACCCAACCAGATAGTTTCTGAAAATTATATCAAAATATATGCAAGAGAAAAAAAAAAAACTTATCTATATAACCCCACTTTCCATTCAAGAAAAAGTTGTATATTTGAAGTTAAGAGATAGTCTGAAAAGTGTGATTCTTAAAGTATTCTTTATTAAGATCATTAAAAGTTGTAGAAACAACTTTATATTATAAAGGCACAGGGAGACAGTTCTGATAAAATATTCAAATTAAGCAGTAACTTACAGTACAAAAGACAATTTTAATGCACATACAAACCCCAAATGTCTGATTCAAAAATATTTTACTGCGTCTATTAATGGGCAATGATTAAAAATATAAATTGCTGCTGTATAATAAATATCTGATAGTGAACATCTTGATAGCAAAGTGAACAAAATATTTATTGCTTTTCACATACATATTTTTCCCTGTAATTTTAAATTCCTAATTCTTTTACTATCTTCTCCTCAACTTTTCCAAAGATAAAAGAAATTACACGTAATCTCAAGGGGGAAATGGTAGTTATAAAAAACGACCTCAAGTTGCAATCACTGCTGGCAGTGTTTTCTCACTTCCTGTTCTGCAATCACAATCACTCTTCCCAAAAGTAAGATAAATGTCTGCTAAACCACAGAAAGACAACTCCTCTAATGACTGGCATTCTAAGGTTTGTAATGAATACTTATCAAATATAAAAGGTGCTCCATTTTGAAAATGTGTATTTTATTTGAAGTTTTGAGTAAGAGGCGAATGTTTGACACGTAACTTTACCTACTCCCCTCAAAAGTTTTCCAAAGTTGTAAAGTCAGCTTAGTATGTAATGTACTGATGTATAAAAATTAACTTTACAACGAAGAGATCTTACCCTTCTTCCAGTTTTTAAACTGGGATTAACTTTATTGATTTCCTCCTGCTCTTTTTGTAGCAACCCAGTTGTAGATGGTACAGGTAGAACGTCCATCACAACAGTAAAATAACATGAAAGCATGATCCCAATTTAATGAATGCTCTTTCAACTTAAGAAATACCCACATTGAAGTCTTTGATAATCATTTTAAAGTTACTTAACCGTATGTCACGTTCAGACAGTGTGTAGCAGCTAGTAATGTACCTGGCACAGAGTTGATGCTCAATAAATAGTTGCTGAATGAATGAAAAAGAAAAGAAAAACTTGGCTTTGGTTGTGCATATTTAATCACTTTCTGATTAGAGTAAGGTCAGTCTAGAACTAAATACCGCACACTACACCAAACTTTGCGGTAAACAAAAGTTGTAATTTCAAACAGGAAAATATCACCTACGTTAGTGATAGCCAATTTATATATATATTGTAACTTTAAAAAACAGCCCACAGAAATCTCACACGTTTAACTTTTACCCATAGACTTAAATTTGATGTTTTTTATGGTTAACAATTGGGTAATGAAGATCAAGTTGGACAGACTGGCTAAACCTGTCTGCTTTATAGTAAGAATTATTAGTCCATCAATAAATAAAAAGTTATGATGCCATATTAAACTCAAACAATGACTACCACATTGACTTTTGCAAAACTACCAATGAATAAGAGGTACATCTTTTACATATGTTTGCAAGCAGTAGCTTAACTTTTCAATGTAAAAGAATAATCAGGAAGATAGGAATTTAATAATGACAGAGTCGAAGTACTGGAAGTAGGATAGTAAAAATAGGTAGATGACCAATTTTAAAATCTAACCATAGGACTAGGTCTAATATTTCTTTGGCATATGCATTACTATCCTGGAATAGTTAGCATTTAAAAAATACTGTTTTTTTTTTCCCCTCAATCAAATTAACATCAAGGTATAGATTGCTAGCCTTTTAAGGGACAAAAGTGACATTTTGCAACATATGCCAAAGTTCATGTTTAGAGTACACTTATAATTTATTGGCATAGAGGGATGTAACTGTTAAACAACCTTAAATGATCTCATGCAATGGTGAAACCACAGAAAGTGGGAAGAAATGTATTTACATAATAAAATATTCAGCTTTCTGAAAAAACAGTAAACCTGGGAATCCTGCCCTAACGGTAAATGTGTACCTTACAGCACTGAATGAAAACTAGCCCAGACATAAATGAATACCTATAGTAACCTGAATGTGTAAAATTTAATTAAAAACATAAAAATGGGGAAAAAAAAAACCAAACCTACACATGAGAAGGAAAAAGTAGCCTATAAAACAGGCCAATCTAACTTGACATTCAAAGTAAATACAAGAGATTCACAAAATCATGATCATAACGCAAACTAAGTCAAGTACCAAGTACCCTTTGATACACAAGCCAATATAACTATCAGACTCATTTCCAATAGCTTAACAATACTCATTAATCCAGTCAGGCATTCAGGGGGTAAAGCGGTTAACGATAGCTCAAGCCTCCAAAGTGTAAGAACAAACTTATTTGCAGAAGCATCATGTGATTTTTTGAAATTATGTCTTACTTTGATGGATGTTAACATTAAGATCTATCAGTGCAAGTTTATCATCCTCTGAATGTATTACTTCCAAATTTCATTTTTCCAGATAATTTTTGGTGGTTTCGTTTTAGCCAGTGCTATTTAAATGAAGAAAAGCAAAGAAAACTTCACCATAGACTACCTCACATTGTTACTTAATTGTGCTAGATATTCACGCAGTTCTTTTGCAGCCTGGAATCTGCCATAGCGCTTCTTTGGGTTGGCGCACTCATCCAGCAAGGCCTCTAGTCGGCCATCTTTGGCAATTTCACTTGGTGGATCATGAAGCAGTCCTCCAGAGGTGCCACGCCAGGTGGCATGTCTAGATAAGAGGTTCTGACAAACAGCATAATAATTGTGGTCCACAGTGGCACGAGCACAAAGAATTTCTTTTGAAAATGATAAGCAAGCTTCCTTATCACAGTCATCAAATTTGCTTTCATACCATACATCCCAATTTTCAGGTTTATCTGTGAAAAGCGAAAAAGGAGAAAGAGAAAAATACATTTTAAGAGAGTTTTCATTGTTTCCCAAAATGTAACATTTGACTAATTAACACAGTATTTGTTCTTAAAATTGTATAACATTAAACACTTAAATACATTAATTTATATACAAACGTTTATTAGGAGTCCACCAATGCCAGGCAGAAGGATCAGAAAAGGTCCCTGCTACTAAAAGGTTCAGCGTAGAGTGAAACTCTCCATGATACAGAGAAAGTGCCACACAGAAGTATGACATAGTGCGACGTGAGTACAGAGGATGCAGTACCTGTGCCTGAGGCTGCAGAAAGCTGCACAGAGGAGAACAACTGATTTAGGTCTTGAAAGATAAGCAAGTCTGAAAAGCAAAGAGGGGATACAGCATGCTAGGCCCACGGTACAGTATGTACGAAGGCATGGATTTAAGGGATTGGTCCGGCTGGTTCAGGAAACAGTAAATTCACTGTGGCTAGAGCATGGGACAGATAACTGAGGAGGAGGTACAGATAAGGCTAGAGAATAGTTTGTACCTTGGATGGTCATGACCATGATTTGTCTAATAGAAATGTAAATCTGGGCTGAAGACTGGAGGGACTAAGATGGTCTAGGAAAAAAAGCCAGACTGTAGAAACATTTGAGAAAAAAATTAACAGGGAAGTGTATGAGTAAAGTCTGAGGTTCTAACTAGATGACAAGATAGACACTATTAACATAATGTTAATATTTTATACATAAATACAGAGTAATATAAAGTAGCTGTAAGGTATTCAGGGGAAAGGTTCATTCAAGAAACTAAAAGGCCACTGTAGCTGAAGCATTAAGTGCAGTGGAGGGATGTTAAAAATGAAGCAGAACAGCTCCAAGTCACACAGATTATTCTCTGGTAAGGAGTTCGAATTTTACTCGAAGAACCATGGGAAGTCATTAAAGGCATTAAGCAAAGGAGTGCTAAGATCAGATTTATGTTTTAAAAAAGGAACTACCTGAATAGAAGGAAACCAAAGGAGGAAAGAATTTCAGGAAGTTGTTACTAATCAGTCACTTCACGAATTTGCCAACTGGGTGGTTGCAGATGGTAATGCAGTCAGGTTTAATGGGTTGAGAAATGAATGGAGGCTGAGGAAGCAGAGACAGGCAGTAAGCAGTACTTTTAAAAATGCTGGGAAAGCAGAAAAGAATCTTATGCATACTTGTTTTGGGGAAGGTAAGAAAAATTGGATTTTAAGGAGGAGGGTAGAAAGTTGAAGATAACTGATGCAACAATTTCTCAAGGAAGGATCTATTCTGTTTGAAAAAAATGAATGTGTATTGTTTTTACTAGTTTAGATGATAAAGGGAAGGACATTGAGGGAGTTGCCACAACAAAATCACAATTTCCCTGTAAAGGTCATTTACAAGAGTTCAGAAAAGAGGGTGAATAACTAAATATGGCCTTTTGCAAAGTGTCTATTTAGACAGCCCTACCATGAGACATTTGAAAAGAATTAGCCAGAGCTAAAGTAGCACTGGAGCTCACTGTATGAAATGCGAGAATACAGAAGCTATATTGTATTCATTCAAGGTCAGGAATTAGTTGGTATAAAACTGTAACATGTATTCCAGGAATGCTCACATCAAAAAGAAAAAAAAATTTCAAAAATATTATTTTTATGAATACTGGAATAAAAGTGTTTTAAAGTTTAGGCAAGTTGCACAACTCTGAATATAATAAAACCACTGAATTGTACACTTTGAAAAAGAAAAGCATGGTGTAAGCTGCTACAACATTCACAAATGTAGGAAGAGATAAGTAGGAAATGAAGCACTCCAGAGCATGGTATCCACTCTCCATGAAAGGATGTACATGGCAGGTCAAGAAATAATCAGAAAGTAGTTTGGTGAGTACGGAATCAGATCAAGGCACTGAGAAAAATTAAGTATTTAACAAGATCAAGCTGATGTAAAAAGTATAAACCTAATAGACTGCTGTTACATTCACTGCATTCCATAGGTGCCACAAATTTTTGGTCTCTTCATCAACAGACCCCCATATGACATGAGGGGATTAAGAATACAAGACCTTCACCATGGAATAACAACCCTTCGGGATTTTTTTTTACTAAGTACATTAGTTATAGAACTACAGGCTTTGTCCCTGAAACTTTAAAATTCCTATGACACTTAATTTTCAAAACACTTCAGCCATTGTGCCCACCTATCCTTTGAAGAGCTCATAAATAAACGGAGAGCAAAGTTTTGGATGAGACGTAATAATGTCAAACCAAAGTTAAGAGTTCTGCAGTGCTAGGAATCATCTAAATGGTTAAAAAGAAAAAAAAATCACTGAAGGGACCTCACAGAACAATGAAACACAGAATATCTCTGTAAGAGACTCCACAGAAAAATATGGACTCCACAAAAGCAGTATAGTCTCTCTGGTGGCCTTTAACTATATAAAAACTTAATTCTGCATTAGATCCTAAACCACAGCATAAAGCATGAAAAAGACGTGTACACACACACACACACACACACGGTATATCTGCGTCCATTTGAACCTGAAGGATATTTTCTAAATAAGGACAAACTGTGACTAAGAGTACAAGCGTAAGTATAATAAATCAGTATTTGTTTACTGATACTGGTCAAATAAAACAAAGAAAGATGCAAGGTTGCCCTCTAAGGAGAAAATTAAAAGTTTGCTTCACATAAATGTAAACATTATTTTGACACAGAGAAAATCTAAAAGTTATAATACTTACTTTGTCTAATTAACCTTTTGTCAGCAACCAAAACATTTTCAGCATCCACAATGATCACCTTCCCATCTCTAGGACCAACTGCAAAATTGTCAAAGCTGACGTCCAGGAGGTAGAGTGCAAATTCAAAGTCATTGTTTGTCAGCTGCTCTGCTATTTCCATTAATTGCCAAGCGAGGTCAACTCGTTTCTCCCATGGTGCATTAAAGTAACTCCACAGTTCTTCTCCAACATAATTTACAGCCACCATTCTTCCACAAGCTCCAAGATATTTTGCAAATGGCCAACCTTCATCAGATGGAAAACTCTACAAAAGAATTATCTTATTATAAGAGATTCTGATGAAGATATCCTAGGTCTAGCCCAGATCCTCCGTAGGGATTTCTGCTAGGTATGAGCTTGGATTTTCTTTTTATATTCAATAGTTCAATAGAGATCAACTTTTTTTTCTTTCTTTCTTGAAGTATAGTTGATTTACATTCAGTTATACATATATACACATTCTTTTTTTAAATATTATTTTCCATTATGGTTTATCTTAGGATACTGAATATAGCTCCCTGTGCTATACAGTAGGATCTTGCTGTTTATCCATTCTATATGTAATAGTTTGCATCTGCTAACCCCAAACTTCCAGTCCATCTCTCCCCCACTCCTTCCCTTCCCCTTGGCAACCACATGTCTGTTCCCAATGTCTGTGAGTAACTTTATTTCTTCTTTAACTCATACCGTTACCATGGATGTGAAAATTTTTTAACAGATTACACTATAAAGCTAAAATAAAGTCAGTCTTTCTTATCAAAATCTCAGAACCAAATTGATCAACAAGACACAAGACACCTTCTTTATTACCAGATCTAAAAGTATGTATGCTTTCCTTTATCTTTTTGACTCCTGTTAAGTACAATCAACCAATCCTTTCTTCTGAATGAACAGGACTACTGTAGGCCTATTAGCCAGCAAGTGTTTACCAGGCACCAGGCACTGTGTTATGCTGGAAGAGTAAACTACACAGTCTCTAAAATAAAAATTTTAGAAGAAAAGACGTGTAACAAACAAATAATTATGTGTGATAAGTGTTAGTTACTAAAAGGTGGTACAGGTCCTAAGAAAGTCTTTAATAGGGGCCTTATCTAGTCCAGAGGAAAGCAGGGGTGGAATTCAAGGATTCTTGGGAAGTATCTTCTATCTATACCCAAAGGTTGGTAAAGAGCAATCTGATAACCTATCAATACAATCTCTACTCCAAGTACCTCTGGTCCCAAGTTAAGTCTTGCTTCCCTTTCCAATGCCATCACATTGTCTATTCACCTTAACCCAACTTCAAAATTATTTGTTCTCCTAATCTGGGCAAGATTTTCTAATGGATTTTATAACTACTAGGAAGATTAACATCCTAAAACAAAAATCTTCCAGGATCATCAACAAGTCATTTTCAACCTAAGTAAAATGGCAGGCTTATTCTAAGGTACTCACTCTCCAAAGCTAAAACACCCAACTACAAGATGAGCAATGCAGTGCAAAAGGGTGATAAGTATTGTTTTAAACAACTTTTTGGAAGATCACATGACCAGAGGCATTTTTTAAGAGAAATTTTTCAGTCTAGTACCTTTCCTTAAGTTGGGGGAAGAAATTATATAAAGATGATGTTTACACAAACTTCAGGGGAAACAAAGCAAAACACTACAGAATATAAATGTAGCCTACTTCTATTGCTAAAAATTGAACAATCTGCATACAAGAGCTGGAGATGAGGCTCTTCTTGGGCCTCTCAAGAAAAGTAAGTAATTTTACCCTGAGCTTTTATAAAATTGACAAAACTCAATACCCTTACATTAAAACTTTTATCAACTTAAAAAAAAAAAGATTTTTAGAACCAAACTTCATCCATAATTACCTATGTTCATTTGTGTTTCCTTTCAACACTATCAATGTACAATAACTGTATCTGTTCTTGGTACATATACCTTTTTTTCTTTTAAATTTTAAGATCTGGAGTTTTGTGATAAAATACTAATTATGTAAATTAAAAATTTAGATATGATAGCATGAATCTTTAAATATAGTAAATGAATTGATTCAATTTTGTTCAGAGACGATATCTACTGATTCTTTAATAATTAGAGGAAAATGCGTTTTTAATCTTATTACCTGAGATTTTAAAATTTCTTGTGGGTAATGGGAAGAGTGACAGATTGCTCATGTCCAATGTGACATGCAAAAACTGCTAACCACATGTTATTTTCAACCTTTCCTCCCAACTTAAAATACCTCCACAAACTTGAAAATTTATTTAGACAAAATGATTACAAAAGATTTAACTATTTCCCAGTATTCATGTATAAAACCTGACATATAAATGAAAGCACTGAAAATACATAAATATGTGAGATTACATAGTTTTGTCATGCAAAAAGTAAATGAAAAAACTCTTCCATACACTATTGGTATATTATTCACATGCCATATTGTAGAACAGATACAAACTTATCTTTGTGAAAATAAAATGGTCTTTGACAACAGGAGAAAAGGGAACCCTGCCAACCTCTGCACATGTACAAATGCTTCCTTGTTTTTGGAGGCTTTCCAACTGGCAAACGACAGTCAGATATACACTTCATTACTCAAGTCCCTCATGGAAGACGATAAAATATATGAACAAATGTCATACTGAGCAACTTTACATTCATACAGTAATTTCTGACAACGTTAATGGAAATCCTGTTATACCTCATTTTAAGAAGAGCACTACAATTCTTTCATACAGTTTGCTACCTAATCTTTTGGAAGAACTTTAACAAATGAATTCACATCACTTGCTCATGAGAAGAATGTTCATTGTGTAGTCAAAATAGTCAGACTTCATTAATGAGAACAGAATTCTATTGAGCATTCTATTGAAAATGCTTCAAGGAAGCCAAAATATTTATAATTTGTATTTAAAACAATTCTGGCTTAGGATCAAATTACCATGATGAAGGAGAGTTTGAGAGACAAACTTTTAAGATGTTACTGCTTGGATTTATTAAATATATCAAGCAATAAGAAACACAACTTCTGACTTCCTGACTACCCAACTCGCACGGTGCACAAAACCACAGTAACTAAGATAAGAAGTATACTGCTGAGGTCCACATTTTTTTTCTTTAAACAAAATCTTAAAATCAGATTTTCAAACTGCCTAGCACAACAGGCACACAATTTAAAGTAACCTGAAATAAAATGCGTGTATTTCATTTTTATTTCTATTTTTACTTTTTTTTTTATTGAAGTATAGTTGATTTACAATATTGTGTTAGTTTCAATTGTAAAGCACAGTGATTCAGTTATACATATATATCCTTTTTCAGATTCTTTTCCCTTATAGGTTATTACAAAATATTGCGCATATTTCCCAATGCTATACAGTAGGTCCTTGTTGGTTATCTATTTTATATATAGTAGTGTACACATGTTAATCCGAACCTCCTAATTTATCCCTCGCCCCCCCCCTTCCCCTTTGGTAACCATAAGTTTGCTTTCAAAGTCTGAGTCTCCTTCTGGTTTGGAAATAAGTTCATTTGTATCTTTTTCTTTTTTTTAAAGATTCCACATACAAGCAATATCAATATGACATTTGTCTTTCTCTGTCTGGCTTACTTCACTTAGTATGATAATCTCTAGGTCCATCCATGTTGCTGCAAATGGCATTATTTCATTCTTTTTTATGGCTGAGTAATATTCCACTGTGTATATATATACATCTTCTTTATCCATTCATCTATTGGGGGACATTTAGGTTGCTTCCACATCTCAGCTATTGTAAATAGTGCTGCAACGAGGGGTACATGTATCTTTTTGACTTTATGGTTTTCTCTGGATATATGCCCAGGAGTAGGATTGCAGGATCATATGGTAACTCTTATTAGTTTTTTAAAGAACCTCCATACTGTTCTCCATAGTGGCTGCACCAATTTACATTCCCACCAACAGTGTAGGAGGGTTCCCTTTTCTCCACACCTTCTCCAGCATTTATCGTTTGCAGATTTTTTGATGATGGTCATTCTGACTGGTGTGAGGTGGTACTTCATTACAGTTTTGATTTGCATTTCTCTAATAATTAGTCATGTTGAGCATCTTTTCATGTGCCTTTTGACCATCTGTATGTCTTCTTTGGAGAAATGTCTACTTAGATCTTCTGTCCATTTTTTATTGGGTTGTTTTTTTCTGATATTGAGCTGTATAAGAAAATGTGTGTATTTTACAGGATTATTTACTACTGAAAAAATGTGTACAAACACTTTTCATGTGAAGAAAAGAGACTTTCAACCTGGAATGTTTTAAATTCTAATTGGATTGGAGGCACTCCGATTAACTGTTCAGGGCTTTTCATCAGGCTTGAATGTATATGACATAAAGTGTAGTATGTGAAGTTTTTATAACTATTAGTCTAAGATTACACAAAGGCACATAATAGTTACAAAACAATATATTTACTACTCTATTACTGTTTTTTTTTTTTATATTGGGTGGGTGACTACCCAAAGAAAGTCTACAGAGTATTATTACCAATTTAAAAATTAAAAATGGAAATTTAAGTATCACGTCAAACATGCTTAACTCTAGGATTTAAAGCAACATTAAATGTCTTCACTGTTAATTTACATAATAAAAGGTACTGTGAATATGAAACCTAAGATAAATCATCATGTCTAGGTATCTTTTAGCTTAAAGCCAAGGTTTCGGAAACAAACAAAACCACTAGGATCATCTTCATTTTATGAGAAAATAAAATGAAGGTGACATAAAACATATATCAATAAAGAGAAAATTTATTTTATACTCTTTAAGGTACATAATATTTCATAAAACTTCTATATTTAAAGTGTAAAACAGTATATGAACAGAATAATGGACTTGATATCACAAGTCTAGCTTTTGAGTTTCACCTTCACCTCTGCATCTCACTAGCTGTGTGATGGTGGCAAAGCCAAAACTTTTTAGAGCTTTAGTCTCTTCCTCTGTAAAACTGGAATAATATTTGCCCCATATTCATCAGGACAATGTAAGATCAAAGAAAAAAGTATGAAATGTACAATTTACTACTGCTTTATAAAGAATTGCTTACCAAAACATTTTTATACTTCCTGTTTAAATCTTCCTATTTATATAAGTCCAGACATTCATCAATAGAGGTGCTTGTTTGCAAACCGCCTATTGAAAAGGCATCTATAAATAATCAACACCTTCCAAACGTAGCCAAGAACCACTGAACTAGAAATCTATCTTCACTGTCCTCTAGTAGTTTTTAATTTACAAAGGAATGTA